TAATTCTAATTTGAACTTTATTATAACTTATAATATACTTTCAAAATAATATAAGTTATACTTTCGAAATAATAAAAATAAACTCAACATGAACGTCCAAAACGCAGAAACCCAAAACAACGGCACAGAAAACCCAGAAAACGAAACCAACGGCGTCTTCTACCACCACGGGCACAACGCCGAGAGCGTAGCCGAATATATGTATAAAATCCGTGATGATAGTGTAAGACCAAGACAATTTCTTGGTACGGATTCTGAAGATGGGATAGAGGCAATACTTACAGAACGTACAGGCCATTCATTACATGAATATATTGATGGAGATTACTCACTTCGTCCTATTATCGATTTTGATTTATCTAGAGCAAAATTTGATAAAATCGAACCCAAGCTCACACCTAAAGAAATACAGGATTTACTTTGTCATGCCTTTAAGGAAGTTTGTCTAGAGATATATCCGGATTGGAGGCCCAATACTTTAACAATTGCCAGTAGTAGTGATAAGAAAAAAATGTCGCTCCATATATCAACTTTTGGCCTCCGACTTAAAAATATTGCTAAAGTTGCAGTGTTTACTGAGCTTGTCCGCAAAAAACTCCCAGTTAGTTTACAAAGCAAAGATATTGTTGATAATATTGCAAATAAGAGTTCATTCTCCTTACGTATACTCGGAACCCCGAAATTTATTGAAGCTACAAAAGAACATGTACGAGTGAAAAAAGCAATATACCCAAAAGATAGTTCTCTTTTCGATTTTATACTCCGCCCACCTAATGACGATTCACCAGTTATAGATAGTCCAATCTTGAATACCTTAAAGGAAAAAATATCAGAAAAAAATAGCCACCTTGTAACTGCTTTCAACAAAATCGATGCTGGGACTATCGGATCTGAAATAGAATACATAGAAAAACTACTTGAAGAGTATAAAATCGAAGGTTTTGAAGTTTTATATCCTTCACCTACACTCCTAAAAATATTCCCTCTAAATCGTAGAACGGAATCTCAATGTCCACTCTGCAATCGAGACCACACTAGTGATAATGCATATATAATCCGAAATAAGAAAACTTATCATTATTATTGCCATCGAGCGGATCAAGAAACACAAACAGGCACAAGAAAACCCTCATTAAAACTTACTTTAAATGTATCGGTCTTGGAACGGGAAAACAGTCTTTCATCCCCAGAAAAAATAGAGCGACCCAGAATCTCAGATCCAAATGACCGCTTTGTATGGGGTGATTTAATTCGTATGTGTACTTCTAAGAAAAATTTTACTCGGAATGAAGTATATAATGCAATCCAGGCTACACTTGCTTGTGTGGTAAGAGATAAACGAACATGGATTCTTAAACACCGAAAACCGGATGGTAGATTATACTTTGGTATGGCACCTACTCTAGATTTCGGTAAAATAACTATTAATATAGTAGAACTTGGAGGAGAACCAATAAAATTAATCTCTTTGATAGATCGTATATATGACAGCAAGGCGATTATTTATGATGACATCAATTTCTTACCATATCCACCTAATATCGAACAACCAAAAAATGAATTCTTCAATCTTTTCTTAGGATTCAAGGCTAAACCGGCACCTCGAATTAATTACGATCTTGTGAACCCGATTATATGGCACATAGAAAATATCTGGTGTGATGGAAATAAAGTTCTTTCTACATATGCTCTCAAATGGTTAGCATTTTTAGTTCAGTATCCAGCAATAATTCCAGGAACAATTCTTGTTTTGCGTTCACCGCCACGATGTGGGAAAAATATTATTACTGATTTTATTCGAAAAAGTTTATTCGGTCCAGAGCTTGTATATTCAATGTCTGACTTAGGTAAAATTTTGGGAAAATTCAACAGTAGTATTCAAGGACGTAAACTTATAATTATGAATGAAGCGGGAATGTTAAGTGGAGAATGGCATAAGTCAAACGATCACTTAAAATCTCTAATTACAGAAGATTACATCTCAATTGAGCGCAAAGGTCTCGAAAATCAAGAATGTGGCCATTTTCCTGGATTTATAGTATTAAGTAATCATGACGCCCCAATTCGTGTTGAGCAAGGAGATGGTCGTATTGTATGTTTAGATGTTTCACCTCGATGTAAAGGTAATTTTAAATATTTTGGTCAGTTGGGAAAAATTCTCAACCATCCCGATACACCTGGATCTTTTATGAGCTATTTACTTGATCAAGACCTTTCGAATTGGAATCCACAAGAAAATATTCCTACCACTAAAATGAAAACAGAGACAATGCGTGAGCATCTCCCAAATCCCATCCGATTCATAATTGATCATATTTCGGTATGGTCAAAAGATCAAATTGAAAAACCAGGTTGTGTTATGTTATATCAGGAGTATCGTACATGGTGTGAAGCTAATGGTGAAAAGCCATTCAGTAATAATAATTTTGGGAAAAAAATCCCACAAGTTAACATTGAACGAAAACGTGCTGGCGGTGGAAAAAGAGAATGGCAGTATATCCTTGACCGATCCAAAATCGTATCCAAATTACATGAGTCAATTGGCGATATCGAAGAATTTGAGTTGGAAACTCATGGTCTTTCCACTTCTGATATTTCACAAGATAGCTTTCCTACCAAAAGTTCTATGGAAATTCCGGTATTTAGTGTTCCTGAAACGAAGAAAGAAGAAATCGAACCGGAAAAAGAAATACTGAAAAAAATAGAATCGGTTCCTTCAACATCTAAAAATTCAGAGATTATTGACATTCCTGAACCTGTTAGCGATGAATCAGAAATATCTTCCAACTTACCTGAAAACGATAAATCTGAATCTAATAGTGAAGAAACCATATCCAAACCAGTAGCATTACCTTCCGACTATCCAACCCGGGACCAGCGGGAAAAACGTCTTAGGCAATGGGCTATTGATCATGGCGAGGATCCAGATGTATTCATGACTATTACTGAAAAAGATATTAATTTATCTAGAGAATACAGGGATAGAATAATGGCAGATGCTGATATGATCCAATTCACAAAAGATATCGATGATGATCCAAATTCATTAATGGATATGACTAGAAGAGAAAGATTAATAAGTGAGGAAATTATGATCCGATTGCATGAGGATAAGGGTAACCCCCAACCAAGGAGTTATAACGATGATGAATGGATAGAAAAAATATCGATACTTCAAGAAAACGGATACCTATGGTAAATCCAATATATATATTTTAGAAAATCTCCAATTTATAATGACGTATTAGATGGAACAAATAATAGCAAAGCTAGTACGGCTAAAATTTTAGTATAAATATATCCACAGAGGGGATTTTTTGTCCTTCTAAATAGACATTATAAAAATTCAGATTGGAAAATATTTGTTTTTCATACCACTTATTGGAATAAATCCTCTTGACGTGCTTTGCACAATATCCCGTATAAGATGATGTAAGTTTATTACAAATTCTACAAGGAGCTTTTTTTTTCATAGAAATATTTCTTGCATGGCTGATATCTATGAATGAAGAGCGGGTGATTAATTTTTGATTTGAAAAAATAAATATGTAACAAATATACTGCAATCTACTTATCGATATACGTATTATCATGAACACTGCTTCAAAAACCCGAAAGCCCCAAACTAATAATTTTACCTCAATTTTGGACCAGATCCTAAAAAAATATAACTTATCCACCGAATCTAATCCATCTCAATTATGTGTCTATGCTAGTGAACTTGGCGCTATGTTACCAGATTGGAAAGCTCGTAAAAATGTGAAAGAAGCTCTTCGTCGACGTCAATTTAAAGAAGAACAGATCAAGGCTCTTGTACCGGATAAAAGGAATGAAAAACTTACTATTAGGGAAAGAGTTCAATATTGCGCTAAAAGTGGTGATCCATATGATATTTACTTACATGCTTTAGATTTAGTCAAGACAAAAAATGATAGTGATGAAGAAATTGTTGCATCCAGCTCACGTATTTCGCTTTTCCGTAAGGAATTGAAAGAATCTGGAGTTGATTCTAAAGTAATTGATATATATGCTAAATTTCCAGCACTTACTCAAGATTCTAACGAAATTCAGAAGAAGCAACTTGTACAGCGATTAACCGATCCGTTTAAAACTTCTAATACTCCCAAACACTTCTCCTTAGATATGGGACTTGGAAGAATTCAAAATATCGATACTACTAAAATTCCAACTATGCAGGATCTTGCAGACGTGATTATGATGTTAAGCATGAGACCCGCTGAAATTACTACTCTTCGTATTATCCATTATGAACCCGATGAAACAGACCCTCCGGAATGGTACAAACCCGGTTATTCTTGGTATTGTACAGGATATATTAAGAATAAGGGAGAAAAGAAGGTTAATCCTGAGCCTCGACAATTCCTTTCCATGGAAAAGAATCCAAAGCGTGCAAGAGAATTACTTACTTGGATCCAAAATGCTATAGCAACGAAAAAGTTACGTCATCCTGTATATAGTGATAATGGAAAACGTAATACCAGAGCATTTAGCAAATTTTTAAAGCCATATGGTATTATTGCCAAAAGATTGAGAAAAATAGGAGGTAAGCATGCTTCTAGAGTTCATGGTGGCCAAAATCCAATGACTCAACGTCTTAATTTACTTGCTAGAATTGCAATGAGACATAAGATAGACCGTTTTGATTCTGGAACTTATTATGCTGAGGGTGACACGTCTTCTGATTCCGATTCTGATACTGAGCCCGAACCTAAATCTCAGCCTAAGAATAACGATCTTTCAAAGAAAGTGCACTATAATCCTTTTGATGTCGAAATCGCGGAAATAGATTCGATGTTGGCACATAAGTACCGATCCCGTTGAATTCTTGGTTGTTGGACCAGATTGGCCTGGGCCTGATTTAGTGTTAGGAAATCCATGGTTGCAAAAAATGACGCAACGATAGATATGTGTAATAACAAACTTTCTATACATGATAATTATGCAATCCCAATTTTCCAAAGCGGGTAATCGACATTCTACTAAAAAATATCTATAATATATTTGCCCAATTACACTACGTAGAATACAATTATTATGTGATCACCAGATCTTCTCTTGTTTTTACGAATAAATAAGAGGTATCTATTGTTGTTGTATAAAAACGATTAAGCTTATTTTTTAACATCGAATGAGGGCCCACCTATCAAAAGAAATTATACAAATATTAGGATCGGCAAAGGTAACGGATCGTCCATAAGAGATAAATTGATTCCATTCATGACAATTATTGCTCCGAAATTACTAATTTATTGACCTGTGAAGCTACTAACGTTATAAAAACAAAAGAATATTTCCCGTGAGTATACCATGAAGACTTATATCAAACTTGTAAAAAATTCATAAATATGGAGATTTCATGCCTCAAAACTCTTGCATTAAATATTCTTAAAAATGCTTCCTCTGGATGTATTACAGAGGGTGTCGAAACTCCTGAACTAGATCCGTGTCCAGAATGCAATGACGAAATTTTTTTGTACCAACTTAGAAAATCATTCACCGTATTAGCTTGTGGCCATATTTTCCATCGTCTTTGCCTTGAGAACATTAGAGAAACTATAACCAAATGTCCTGTTAAAAATTGTGGTGCGGATATCGAAAGCATAGAAAAGTCACCACAAATACTAGCGTCATCTCGAAAAAGTATGAGCATAGATAAATCAGGTGATTCAGCATTAGACCCTTTTTTGGGGAATGATCCATCATATCCAGATACGATGGTGGAAGACTCATCTGAAAATAATCAATCGCAAAACATGGAATCTGATATACCTGGAACATCTACTGCAAGTACTTTACCATCCAAGCGTGTTGGGGATCCTACATCTACTAATAAGGCTACCGGTAAAAAACAGAAGGCAAATAAAGAAGATTCATTAAAACTGAAAAAACTTATCAATGAATTATTATCGATTGAAAAATTTCCGCAAATTATCGAGGTCGCAGAAGAGGGTGTTTCTGGAGGAGATGCCAATAATTATTTATATTTTTTCAATAAGATTGATTTCGCAGAATCTAAAAATATAATTACAAATCAAGAGGTTATTGGTAGTTATTTTGATTTTGGAGGGGTTTTATATAAACGATACAAGGATCTAAAAAAGGATAACGGTAAAGAAGCATCCAATGCTTTAGTTTTCGAGGAAGTTCGGAAGCAAATTCCTAAAGAAGTAACCGATGTTGCTCTACGAAAGAGAATGGAGAGAGTCCGAAAAATCTATAAACTTTTTACTGCTATTGTTAATGGGAATGAGAAATTAGCAAAAGACAAAATAGCATTAATTAGATCTTTTTCAGCAAATAGCTTATCAAAATTAAGTCAAAGTGATATTGATTTTGTAATCGTCAAAATTTTGAAAAAGGGGAAATAAAAGTGCGGTATGGTCTACTGCGCCACGTTACTGCGCCCTTGTGACCGCGGGTCATAGACATTCATACAAAAATAACAAAAGTTCTCCTACTATGATTTTGATTCCCGCTTGATTAAACATAATTATCCAGATTCATACCATAATCGCATTACCATAAGACCTTTGCAAAATTTTTAGATGCGTGAGTTAGAAGCTTCAATCAATCTTTAACCCTGATTCTTCACAACTCTTTTTAAATATACGGGACATACTTCCCTCAATTCCCTGACCGTAACTTCTTCGTGAAAATTAGAAGGAAGTTCATACATATATTTTACAGGATCTTTCTATGCCTATTCTGAAAGAATGAACTTCGTTCTGGCATGAGCTCCGCTCTTAGATGCGGGTAGGTAATAGTTGAGTGTCTTTTCTAATCGTTTACCAAAGAAATTCAAATTTGATAATCTATCCGCATAATCAATCAGATAATCATTTATTATCGTACGACATTTTAATGGGGCTGAGTAAAGATAAAATTTCGATGTGTGTAACACCTGACGCATGCATGCTTATTTGTGCGATTAACCAAATTCGATTAATTGGCATTCATGTACATCCATTTTCTTTGTAAGGAATTCTTGGCGTAAATATAGAGGAAGAGATGGAAGGAAAACATTTATAAGGGCAGTATAAAAATATATACGTTAATTTGCGATTTCTGATTCTAGCTCTTTTGTAATTTTTCAAACTAACAAAAACATTCCATTTAACTTGCATAACTTTATTCTAACAATGTCAAGTATTTTCGAGAGAGTTTGTAATTTCCTTACCCATTCACCGTTGGACCATATTTCTGTCATGTCTGTCATATATCAAGTGATAGAAGAACAACCAGGATATCCAGAGGATGAACTACGTGATTTGGTTTCTCTAGCCATCGACGAGACAATAAAGAATTGCAAAAAAGATAATCTAAGACGTAAGAAGCTTATTAAAATCCCATTGCAGGTTAGTTTTAATCTCGAGGTTGTGATTAATTATACCATATGATGATTGGCGCTGGTCCGTGTTAGCTTTGGTTAAGTAAAAGCCTATAGCCTGCGGTTACTGGATATTATCCACAAACGTATGGAGGTGATTACTTGATCAAGCACATGTGGATAATTAAAGTCAAATGAAGGCGATAGACGTGTGATGGCCAGACACGAATTGAACCTTTTCATGCGACTTTCTGATGGGTGCATGCATAAATATCGGATTTAACGGTTAATCGTTTGAGTAATTACTAACATGAAATTTTCTGATGCGCCAGTTCGAGGTTGGTTATGAAGGCGTCTGTACACTTCGCAATATAGAGGAGGCGAAAAAGGTGCGTTATATTCTTGTGGTATTAGCGACTAGGATATTATATATGTGCTGACTTTTCTATAACAGAAAGAAAGTATTACTGAAGACGAAATAAAAGAGAACATGCGAACTTTGAAGACGAAGCTCATCGTAAGTTTAGAAATAACACATCAACTCTTTGGGAGCAAAAACCGATCTGAAGTTTATTATTATCTTTTTTTTTTCAGAGTAGTAAGTCTTCTTATGCACCCGATTTACGAAGAAAAATAGATGGTATTGAGGCTTCTAACCTTTTGTGGTGGGATCCACTTGGGAGCCGTGTACTCAGTAACGAATCGGATTTGGTGAGGTCTTTGTCGGATGAAGAATACAAATCTTTCATGGTAAGATGGAACTTTGGCGTTAGTCACCACATTCACGCTGAAGTATATTAACCAAGTTGAAATGTATTATTAGGAGCCTGTAAGGCGTATGGGGGTGGCCATCCCTTCTATCATAAAAGAGATGTGTGTTAATTTCGTGGAAAACTTCAGCTATGATAGTGCCGAGGTTTCGCTTTTCAAACTTGCACACGATATGAATTGGAAGGAAAATGTTGATACACTCCAGGGAGTTACTAAGAGAATTTTTAACACATTGTAAATGTTTGCTAAGCTCATATTGGGGCTGTTCTAGGAAAAAGTGGGTTTCGACCCTCAGATTCAAAAATGAGATATTTATACCAAATTAATCTATACCA